GTTTGTTTGTTTGTTTGTTTGTTTGTTTGTTTGTTTGTTTGTTTGTTTTTAGCTCCATAGGACAAGATACAGAAAGACAGATAAACCACAGAGAAAGTTCAGCCTACGAGAACTTAGGAAAAATATAGAGGCCATGATTTGCCAGGCTGAAAACTAACTCCTGTTTCTCATCTATAGTTTCTCCAGCTGGCAAAATATCTAGAAGACAAGGTCAAATTCAGAGTGCTTCCAGTAAAATATGGTCTCAGCTTCGAGATCAAATCAAGGGTGTGGCTGCAGAACCTTTGTTAGAACCACTGAACAATTCAAGGTGGTGCCCTGTCTACCCTCTCAACAAGACTAAGGGCTTCTTAGAGTCTTACGTGTATTGTCTGATATGCAGCCTGTTGAAAAAGAAATTGTGGAATGAAGTGGACTAAAATAAGATTCATTGAAAACACACAATGTTTTTAAGGAAATTTTCCCAGGTCAGAGTAAAAGGGACAGAGACAGTTCTAAATGAATATAAACCTCCCAATCTTCTACTGGCAGAAATCAGACTGAGAAAGCTACTCAGCTACAAGCACGGGTTATTTCCTATGGAAATGGATAGAATGGGGCGAATTGGTGCATGTGCCCGGTTGGATTTCAGAGTCGCCACGGACCAGTGATTTCTCAGTGCTTCTCAATCTCCCTCTTCCAAAACAGAAGTGTCTGTTGATCACGCCTGAATGTTGGGGGGCAGGGGACACAGACAACTTGTCCTTTTGGCTCACAAGTTTCTGGATCAAGAGTCATACTTAAGACGATGAAGCCATGGAGCATCTGGACCCAAATGCAGATCATAAGATACTGAATTTTGAATCTGATAGAATAATAGGATGAAGTTTAGGGGGTCTTGGAAAACACTGAGTATATTTAGCATGTATATTTACCATTGAGAGATTGAGTCTATTGCCCCACTCCTTAAATTGGCATGGCTCATTCACAAGCCTGGCAGTTAGGCACTGGCTGTTGGCCATGTGCCTCAGTTTTCCTCTGTGTGGCTTCTCATTTGTAAGAGGTTAGGCCAGCTTTCTCACATGACAATCTCAGGGTGGCATTCAAAGTAGAAGAAAGTGGGAGATGCAAATCTTCTCAAGGCCTAGGCTCCAGAGCATTCACACAGTTAACTTTTGCCACATTATATTTGTCAAAACAAGTCACAAGAACAGCCCAAATTCAAGGTGTAGGGATAAAGGCACCATCTCCCAATAGGAGGCTCTGCAAAAAAGTTGTGACCATATTTAATCTACTTCTGTGGGTAAGAGCCTTTCAAACTCTAGGAATATTTTTAATTAAGTATAGAAATGTTTAAAAAGAACGAAAATAGGGGCCGGCCCAGTGGCGCACTGGATAGTGCGCCACTTGGGAGCGCGGCAGCGCTCCCGCCCGAGGGTTCGGATCCCACATACAGACNCTGCAAAATGGTGCAGCCTCTATGGAAAATCGTATGGAGGTTCCTCATACAATTGCAGATAGATCTACCATATGACCCAGCTATCCTACTGCTGGGAATATACCAAAAGGAATGGAAATCATCAAGTCGAAGGTATACCTGTTCCCCAATGTTCATTGCAGCACTCTACAATAGCCAAGAGTTGGAACCAGCCCAAATGTCCGTCATCGGATGAGTGGATATGGAAAATGTGGTATATCTACACAATGGAATACTACTCAGCTATAAAAATGAATGAAATACTGCCATTTGCAACAACATGGATGGACCTTGAGAGAATTATATTAAGTGAAACGAGTCAGGCAGAGAAAAAGAAATACCACATGTTCTCACTTATTGATGGGAGCTAAAAATAAATAAATAAATTCACACAGACACAAAAAAAATAACCGGGGGAGGCGGGGAGAAGATATAACAACTACAATCCTTTGAAGTTGTTACAACAAGCCAACGGAAAGGACATTGCTGGGTGGGAGGCGGGAGAGGGAGGAGGGAGGGAGGTTTCGGTGATGGGCTATAATAATCATATTGTATATCAACAAAATAAAAATTTAAAGGAAAAATAAATTAATGAAAAAAAATAGTGGAATAAAAAAAGTTCATGGAAAAATAGAAGTAAAAGATAATATGAATCTTTCCATGAACTTTTTGAAGTACCTTTGTATAATATCTTAATTATTACAAGCAAAAATTGAAAGCATCAAGCCCTCTCTGTAGAGGTTTTAGGGTTCCAGTTTTTGTGGGAGATGGATATTTTGTTGATCATAGATGGGGGATAAATTTGACATATTCTTGGTCTTTGAACTTGACTCTCAAAAATCCCTTTAATGACTTCATCCATACAGATGTCAATCTAGATAGAACCGTAGACACATAGATATAAATCTAAATGAATGTCATCCCTTCAGAGTACCTAAGTGTTGACAAAACTTCAATCTTCAATGTGAATTTTAAAACTTACTGTGCAGTTCACCGAAGTGGAGAACATAGACTACAAAATTTTAAAACAAATTTAGTTCTCAGAGTAAGTTAATTTAGCAAAAGGAGTGAAATCTTAAGGGGAAGCACGATAACTGTACTCAACTTCATTGCACAGGATTGTGACTGCACATAAAAATGTGACTTCAGAGTTCCCACAACAGTTTTACACAGTTAGCCTGGGCACATAGTAACTAGTTCCACAAGGTGCCACAGTTCTGTGTTGATTTTACTTTATGTGAACAGAGATTAGTCATATTTGTGTATTCTTTCAAAGCCATTTTAAAGTTTCAAATGCTGCTTGTGGCATTTCCTAGGAATGTGGCTAAGATAATAATGTCATGGATTTTTTTTTCCTTTTAAAGAGAAATTCAAAATTGTAACCCCCTAAAAGTTAATATTCTAAATTAGTTGTTTTTTATACATGTTTCTCTTTTAGAAACAAGGCTCAGTTTTATTTCACAACAAAATCTTACAATCCTAATAAAATAAAGCCAACAAAAACAAGGCTTCTTGGCAGAACCCTGGATTCATGGAAGACATCTTGAAAACGTTCTAAATAATAAATCATTCTTCCTCTGCAGGACATTCTCATTAGTTGTTTCCCTCTCACTCTGGCTTTGCTAATGTAGGGCAGCACATGGAAATTTCCCTCTTAGAGGTGGGCATGAGTCAGGGAAGCTTATGTTTTAGAGGATGTGCAGGAAGGACACACGGTCATGGCATTTCCATGTAGAAAATATGGAATGTATTTCCCATAGAAACAGTGTTCAAAAAAATGGTTACTCGTGTAGTCATATTAGTTGTATAGCTCTGTAGTTGGTAAACCAGGATGGCCCTATACATATTGCTTTTATAAATTCCTTTTATCCCCAGAAATTTAAAATATTTGTCAATACCTCTTAGAAAAAATCAGTTTCCTCTCTCTCTCTCTCTCTCTCTCTCACTCACTCACCCTCTCACCCTCTCACCTCAAATGCCATCCGTCACTAATTCTTAGTGGACATTTTTTGCAAAGTGTCTTAGTGTCTGTTTTTGTAATTGCTCTCCTTGCTAATACCCTTTTGACTGGAGAGACAGCATAGAAGTAGTGTTTAAGAGTCATTCCTATTTAAGTTATACTTTCATTGATAAAATATAGCTAGCCTTTTACTTGTTTTATGGGGTAGGAAAGGATTTACATTACTAATGAGTTACAGGTCATCTTTGATAGTTCTACTTGAAGGAAGTTTTATGTGTTTAAGAGATCTGTTAACATGCTGCTGAAATCTCAGTGATTTTTAGTATAGTGTGTACAAAACTGAATTTTAAAAAAAAGTAGATTCTCACAGCTATATTATTCCTTTTCAGTATTTTTAGTGTATCTGAATTTTTGAGGTGTGGGATGTTTGTATCACTGATGGATCTTTTTATTTATAACCTGAGATGACAAATTTATTTTTACCTTTCCTTTATCAAAAATTATAAACTTATAAATAGCGTTTATAAATTTAAAAAATAGCATTTTTGAATACTCAGATTTCAGACACTGCTCATGTTTGAATCTTCATAGTGCATAAGAGCTCCTTGAGCTGCTCACAGTCTAGTGTGATTTTAGTTTACCTTACCTCTATTATGGTAACATGGGAAGAAGCAAAGGGAAGCAAAGGAGGCTTATGGGGGTTGGGTGGGTCTTAAAGAAAAGATGCTCACCAAGTGTTGGAGTGGTTAGGGAAGGCATTTAGAGATTGTCATATTCAAAAGCACTGCAGAAAAAGAGCAATGTAGGGAAACAAATGAATTGGTTTTGACTAACCAATTTGGGGGGTTGGGGTAGGGGAGAATAGAGAGTACAGATTTTGGAAATTCATGTTGTTGCCAGATTAGGCTGGGTCTCAGGTTACAAACTAGAGATGTGAAATCTTATCTTATTGGCAGTAAGTGCTGTCTACCTTGTATATTGTAGGAAGAGAATTGCCTACAGTTTGAACAGTGGCTAAGGGGAGTGGATGAGGATTTCTTCTACTATTAATAGATACTTACTCAAATTAGAACATTGTAATCTTTTATTATAATTTTTTTGTTTCTGTACATGTATAAGTTGATATAGATATAATATACTTTATCAGAAGGTTGTATTTTGGCTCTAGAGTCACATGATAAAGGAATGTAAGTGCTTCAAAAGTTTAATTGATAAGTTTTCATTGATGAAAGTCTGAGGTTTATGTATGGATAAAATTAATGCTGTAAGATTTTACATTTGAGAAAGTTTTAAGTTACGTATTGTTAATAGTATCCTTTCCTTTCCACCCTGTCACCCCCCAAAAACTATAGGTATTTACCTCCTGAGTGTTTTGTAGTTGGAAAAGAGCCACCAAAGATTTCCAACAAGGTTGATGTGTGGTCAGTTGGAGTCATCTTCTTTCAGTGTCTTTATGGTAGAAAGGTAAGCTAAGTTACACCAGCTTCAGCTATATAGAGATAAATTAAGTTGAATTTTCCCCTTTTAAATGGAAAATTTCACTAACTTGAAGTCAATTTACATCTTTCCAAGGAGAGGTAGGCTTCTTCTCTATTTCTTTCTGAAATTCCCCTGAATCAGAATTATTTTATTGTCACACCAGTCTACTTGGCTTGCTTTTCTTTTCTTTTTAACTATCTGTTAACAGTGCTTACATTTTCTACTATTAGGAATACTGGAGTCAAACGTTTTTATTATCATTATCCTCCATTCTCTCCACTACCCCCTACCCCCACCCTGAGTTTGGCCTATGTATAGCTCCCCTGCTGTGCCTCCTCAGAGAAATATTATCAAACTTAGTCTTAATTCTTCCCAAACCTATCTTTACCATAGATATTATCTGGTCCACATCCCATCCCTTCATCAGTATGGTAAGAGAAGATAAGGGACTTGTCTGGGAATTCACAGCGTGTTAAGAATAAACCCAGATCTCCTAATTCTAACTCCAGAGCTATTTGATTTAAATTAGTGTGTTATACACAGAAGTATTTTATGCTTTGGAATTTTCAGACATTTTCATTACTTCTTTATCTGTTCTGAAATCAAACTTTATTTTTAAAATATTCAGAATAAAGTTTTAAATTTCTTTCTATTTACTTATTTTTATCTTAAATAGTTATTTTGCAACAGCATTATTTTCTTCTGCCTCTTAAAGTGTTTCATCTGTGTTGAGGATTGGTTAGGTGGGCATTCTTGGCTTCCAATCAGTTATAACCTTGTTTCTATGTGAATGGATCCCAGCTTTCAAATGACTGAGGACAAGATTTTAGAACACAAATTATTTGTATTTTGATGATTCACTGATGATAACTCTGTTTAAATATTTCGTAAGATAAATTTCTCAATTTTTTTTTAGCCATTTGGTCACAATCAATCTCAACAAGATATTCTTCAAGAAAATACAATATTAAAAGCCACAGAAGTCCAGTTCCCTGTGAAACCAGTTGTAAGCAGTGAAGCCAAGGTATTAAATTTATGTAAATAAGATTTATGAAGTAACTTTTCTTAAATCAGTTGCACTTACAGCATGGTAAGTAATTACTAGTAAGTAAAGTGATAGGAATCACCACCTCAGGGGATCTGTCCAGCAAGGGCTGGTGATTTGCTCTAGAAAAAAGAGCTGCATCAGCCTCTGGTTGCAGTATTTTTCATCTTTTAAGCACCCACATAGGTCCCTGATTCTTTGCGCATATCAGCTTGCTTTGAAAATTAGGGAAAATCACAAGATCTGGGCCCATTATTACCTTTATGTGTCATTTATCAGCTTTTATGTTAATACTGAAATATTTAAGTATTTAAGAAATAATAAAAGTAATAATAACTACCATTTATTTAGTGTTTTTATATACGTTAACAGCCTTACGAGGTATAGGTACTTTTGTTATTCCCATTTTATTTTATTTATTTTTTAAAATTTAATTTAATTTTATTTTATCCATATACAATGTGGTTGATTTTTGTGTCCCTTTACTGAATCCTCCCTCACCCTTTCTTCTCCCCTCTTCCTCCCGTCAACCTCATATCTGTTCACTTGTCTTAACAACTTCAAGGTGTTATTCCCATTTTATAAAGTAGGAAGCCAGCCATGTCATAGCCAAAGTACCTTGTTGAGAATCACACCAGCTGGTAGGAAGCAGAGCTGTGGCTCACAAGTAACCTCTGCCAGACTCTAAACTCCACATCCTTGTCCTCTGTGCTGCCCTGCACTAGCTCTTGAGAGTTAATGCAATATCATCCATTTATGTCCAGTAATCCAGTTCTAAGCCATATATGTCTGTGCAATAAAATAATAGGACATAGTTATTTCTTTTCTTTTTGTCTTTTTCTGTGTCCGGCAACGGATCGCAACCCTCAGTTTCGCCCCCGTACTGGACCGGGACCGGCAACGGGATCGCAACCCTCGGTGTTGCTCCCACGCCTCGCTCAGCTAGTGAGCGGGAACCGGTCTGTATGTGGGATCCGAACCCTTGGCGGGAGCACCACCACGCTCCCAAGCGGCGCACTATTGCAGTGCGCCACCGGGCCGACCCTACATAGTTATTTCTAATTACAAAACTTTTTTGGTGCTTAATATCTTCTCACATTCATCTTGTTGGCCTTTTCATGTTTGTGTTTTTACTCCTTTGCCATACTTGTCATGAAGCTCATTTCTCTGTGACTCCCTTCTCTTTCTCTCTCTCACCCTCCCTGCCCCTCCCCTCCTCTCTTTCTCTCTCTTTTTTTTTCCCTGCTGACCAGTACAGGTATTGAACCCTGGACCTTGGTGTTTTCAACACCACACTGTAACCAGCCAGGCCCTTCCTTCTCTTTTTTAAACCCTTTGAAATTCATAAGACAAACCCATGAAGTTCCTATTTTTTCTGGTGTGCATAGTCCAGGCTGTAAGAATAATTAATCAGTAGGCACTATATAGTTTTTATATTTCTATTATTCTTGTATAGATTAGTACTCCTAGTTGTTTGAGGTCATAGTAGCCTTCATAATTGGAAATGTGCTTGGTTTTGTGTCATTATTCTCACTAAGCATATACATTGAAACTGTCCAGCATTCCATTTTATCCCTTAAATCTTACTGGGTTTTTGAAGTTATTTGAATGATGGTTAGAAAATTTTGGCAATTAAAAAGATAAGTGTAATGTTCTTATCTTAAAACATAATGTATTATTTTCATGAAGTAAACGTGACTTAAAAAGATCTTGACCATGCTGGTATCTAAAACTGGTCATCTTCTCTTCCTTCCTACAGCCTCAGTGAGAATAGAAATTAAATTAATTTAGTCAAAGCAAGACCTATTTATTTATTTTTTTAATACTGACAAAAATGGCCAGGAATGAGTGGAGTGTGCCAAAGGGTAGTACCATTGAGCCATCTCTGGTTCTGTCCTTAGGTTCTTTATAGGTGTCACAATCACAGTTTTGGTGTCTGGGATCCAGGAAGGGTTGGGCGTTTCCACATGTTTGTTTAAATTCTTGTTCCTATGAGTATACCTTTGCCAAGTACTTTCCCTGACATGGCGTGGGCATGTTAAGTACACTTACTTGTTGCAGACCTCTTAGCCTTAACCATGCTTTTGGTAGGTAGCCTTTCATCCCCTCAAACTCTGCCTTCAGCATACCAGTCACTCTTGATTTTTTTTCTACATCTTAATAATTTTCTTTTTTTTTTTCCTTTTTGTCTTTTTTTACTGACCGGTAACGGGATCGCAACCCTCGGTGTCGCGCCCGTACCGGGGACCGGCAACAGGATCGCAACCCTCGGTGTTGCGCCCGCACCACGCTCAGCCAGTGAGCGGGAACCGGTCTCCACATGGGATCCGAACCCTCGGCGGGAGCACCGCCGCGCTCCCAAGTGGCGCACTCTCCAGTGCGCCACCGGGCCGGCCCTTAATAATTTTCAATGTGGTCTCTGAAACTTTTTTACTTGTTAAAGACCAAAAAAGAAAATACCTCTAATGGATCAGATAGACTTTTGATAAATAGTAAGCTAATCATGGTAAAATGATGAGACTAGCTGGACATGTTTTTCGAGAAAATTTACTTCTAATGAATTTTCCAAGGAAAGAAGGTACAAAATAGTTACTTTTTAATGTGATTAAACATCTGTTTAATGGTATGTATCTTAGTTAAAGCATTCCTGCAAATGCTTTAATTCATGAATTTATGTAGCAGTAAGGAATTTCAAGACAAGCTAGTTATTTCTAGTGTCAGCAGTAAGAGAGGGAAACAGTGATCAGTTATCTTTTGAGAATATTTTTGCAAAAAAGTGGGTGAATCTCACAAGTACATTATTATGTGAAAGAAGCCAGGCATAGGAAAGCATAATCTGTGATTCCATTTATGTAAAGTACAGAACAAGCAAAAAATCAACTATGGTATTAGAAGTCAGGATAGAGGTTACCGAGGTGCTGCTGGGGACGGAGCCAGTGCCTGGAAGGGAGCATGAGGAGGATTAGCAGGTTCTTTCTCTTGATCTGGTTGTCAGTTACATAAATATATTCACTTTGTTTTGTACACTTATAGTTTGTATGCTTTTCTAAAAATGTTATACTTCAACAAAGTTTTTTTGTGAGAAACTACTCAAGGAAAGAATATGTGAAATTGGTTAGAGGGAAAAAAGATAGTGATTATATTTCATTATTTAGCTTTTTCAGAAGTATGATGCATAGGGTTAACCTAAGAAATAAAAACCCCAATGGAAGTGTCACTTCAGTGTCCTTTTCATCTAAAGAAAGTCTTTATGCTCAATAGGAAAAAAATATGGCTAAAAATGGCATATTACCCTTTGGTCAAACTGAACTGATAGAAAAATGGAATGAAAGTGGGAGTATTGTTTAGCAGAAAAAAATGCTAGAAAAAGAAGTCTAGAATTTTGTAAGCAGAAATGCAACTTTCCAGCAATAAGTTCAAATGGTAGCAACAATAATTTAGACTGTAAAGTGAAACACCAAGGGCTGTGTGAGTAGAGAGCTGAATTTGGAGTGAGAATTTTATTGCTACAGCAAATTATTTATTTTTTGACGTTTCTATGTCCAATAAAATGAGAACTATTTATTGTCCTAAATGTGTCCATCCTTCTGTAGGTTTCAGACGCTTGATATTTAGAAGGGGAAGAGATTGTTTTTAAGGTTTGTGTATCCAATGAAATGAGAGCTATTTGTTTGTGTCCATCCTTCTGTAGGATTCAGTTGATTGATATTTAGAAGGGAAAAAGATGGTTTTAAGTTCTTTTTCTTTTCTTTTGTAAGGCCTTTATAAGACGCTGTTTGGCATACCGAAAAGAAGATCGATTTGATGTGCACCAACTGGCAAATGATCCATACCTTCTCCCACACATGAGAAGATCGAATTCTTCAGGAAACTTACACATGACTGGTCTAACAGCATCCCCTACACCCCCTTCTTCAAGCATACTTACTTACTGACTTTCCTCCAAGATTGGCATGATATCTTTGAATTGCTTCCAGATGCACACCTGAGTTAGAGAGCATTTGAGTGTTTTTTTTTTTACACATGGTTAAGAACTGTTTGTGAACTGAAGTTCTTCATAATGTCATTTATATGAGAGTGGATCATGGACAATGAATAAATGCAAATTTCTGGCTATATCCTTGAGCAGTGAAGGATGACTGCCTGTTGCATAGGAACCAGGAATACCGTGTTAAGATAGAAGAAAAATATTTGTTTATTTGGGAACACTGTAAATAACGTTTATAATACTTAAATACATTCGGTTGTTACTAGAGAGTTCTAATATGAAGGGTAGTTTTTCATTATTTAAAAACACATGGAAAAAATATGAGACATATTTCTAACACAAGAACTACAGTGCCTGGATACATTCTTCAGCATTCGGCAGTTAATCTGCTAAAACCAAAGTAAGAACTGAATGACAGTGACAGTTGTGTTTTATAGTAATCAAATGTGAGAGAATCTTTTAACAAAGTTAGACTTTGTCATTTGCCAATTCTGGCTTTTACCAAGTTGTACCTCGAAATCACATGTCCGTTTTTTTCACTTGTTATATTAAAGGGAGAACTATTATTCCTAGATACTTTACACCTTTGACAAAATGAGCTGCTTGTTTTGAAATCAGTTGAATTCACTAAATTGTAATATCGCCAGTGTTTTCAACATGTTAGCATTGATAACAGGTATTTTTCTTTTGTTACCAGGCCTTGCTCATTAAACCAAGTGACAGTGTGTAACCAAATGCAGACCAGTTCTATGCAGGATAATGATAAATTCCCTTCTAGCTCTATTGTAAATTGTTGTACAGGTGTCATATTTCAATTACTAAGTTTCAGCAGCTTATTCTTGTACAAATGTTTAAAAATATGGCTTTTCTAATTGGATATTGTATTTTTCTTAAGTCTTCTTAAAGGCGCTTTAACTGCTGCTAAGTGATGTTGCTTTGCTAAAAAAAAAAATTGAATGACCTCCTTGAAGGTGCAAGTTGACTGTACACCATAGAGAGATGTTCAAAGCAGGCATTCATTAACAATCAAGGCATGTAAAAATGATCCATGTTGGTCATACTGAGTTCTTTAAATCAGTTTCTTGGGTTCTAGGGCTGTGGAGCACATAGATATTAGATTTATAAATTGTTCATGGTTATTCTCCATTTCCAGAAGGTTCTTATCAGCAAGGTGGGATGATGGTCCCATAAACAAGTTTCTTGTGGTTTGTACAGATTTGTTAAAATGTGAACTTTCTAACTGCCTTGTATGGTAGAAACCAATATTTTTCAGGATGCTGTATTTCACTCCTGTAAGGATTTTTTTCTTTATTGTCACACTCATAATGCTTATACTTACATGTAAGTTGTCCATGTTGCAGAAAAAGGAGGCTGTGCTTACCACAGATTCTCCTTAATATTGTACAGTTAAACTGTGGCTCTTACTTCTGATGTTGCAAGCCATTTTGTTTTTTCATTGTACATAGACACATTGTCTCTTTAAGATGCTGCTGAAATTGTAGAGAATGTAGCCAAAAAGAGTAATAAACAATGATAGTTAAAATGTAAAGACTATGAAAATTACATTTGAAGGGAGCTTTCAAGATTTAGGATATTGACTAATTTAACTCCTCTACTTAAGAATCAGCTGTATAAATTCTTTAAGTGTACTTCAAGACAAGTATAAAGTGTTTCAAGCTGTTAATGTTAAATCTAATAACCATTATCAAGACTAATCCTGGGTAACACTTAGCACTATCAGGAGTGGCATAAAGGCTATACCTGTTCCTCTGTAGATTAAGATAGAAGACCTATAAAAAAATACCACATGGTAATGAAATGTTAGCATTGGTTGAGTGCTTTAGGTGCTGCCCACAAGTTTTCAGTTTTGTTATTTTTGAGTTTTCATCTTTCTGAAAGATAAAGTACTATGTTCATAAAGCAACTATTATTTAAAGTCTTGAATTAAAGGAAAATACCCAGTTTTGTTTAAAATTTTGGTGAGGTGTGATGTGAATGTGTAAATCTAATATGAGGTTGAGTAAGTAGTATAGACCTGGATCACTGCCTCACTATTTTATTCTCAAAAGAATGAGAGTGACTGCTTAGTGTCAAAATGCAGAAAGGAAAACAAGCCATAAAGTGAACTTTCCTTGACCTGGGTTTAGGTAATCATTTTAGAATCAAAGATGTATAGGAGATGAATCAATTTACAGACCCATGTCTTCCTTCTAAAGTTGTTCCAAGCAAATGCTATGGATTTTGGATAACCCAGCAGGTCCTAGATGGCTAATTGAGCCAAATGAACAATTTATTGTTACCTTCACATGGGAAATCGGTACCTGTTGCTAAATAATTTCAAAGTCACTCTGGTGGACTTTAGCTGTAATATTTTTTGAGGCTTCAATTGTTTCTGATGTCTTCTGATATCTGTCTTCAGAATTAAAGCCTGTCTTATGTCCCTAAGATGAGAGCCAAGGTCTCTCTTTAAGAGTCAGCATTGATGCAAGGTAAAATCACATCTTACATACAATTTAAAAATCTTTCTTTGATTTAACTTTAGTGTGTGCATGTGGAGAGTGTAGAAACCACCCTAATAATTTGTAAGTTGGGAGTTGGGGAGATACTTACTTGGTTGTTTGTCAAAAATAAAGACTCAATCTTTTTTTCCTTATTCACTGCCCTACCCTTCTCCTAAAAAAGAACTTTAGTGTAAATGGTACATAAAATGTGAACAAACATTTCTACAAATACCTCATTACATGAAGCCGAAATGGTGGAACATTTCAGTGAAACATTTAAAGAGTATATTATGTGTTGTTTTGCTGTTCGTCATTACTTATTAAATGCAATAATGTTGATTACCATCAGATGTTACTAACTATGTTTTAGTGGTAATGCAAACTGTTTAGTCCATTTAGATTGTTAGTTTACTCTTACAATTTAATTACATTGCTGTTTGACTTTTTTGTGAAATCAGCAGCCTTACTTATACCTTTAAAAACACTGGCAGGTCTTTCTCTAATCCCATGTTAAATTTTCACATGTTATCTGATCATCTTTCTTCCACATAAGCTAAATTTTAATTTTCTGAGATTTAATCTAATTCAAAAAGTGCTTTTAACAGATAGTTTTTTAAAAATCAGATTATTAGAATTCTAGCTCCTTGGCTTGCAGTTCATTCTGGGACAGTTTTGGAATTTATATTACTGTCAGTTTGAATTAGCTTTATTTTCTAAAATAAGCATTTCTATTTGCCTTCCCCTACTTTCCTTTTCCTCCTTTTTTTGAGGACTTTTTTTCCTGAAATTCTTTAATTTTTGAATAGGGAAGATTTGAGTAAATGTGTATAAACCAACTTGAAAAATTATTTGCATAGGCTGGCCAGTTAGCTCAGTTGATTAGAGCGTAGTGTTATAACATCAATGTCAAGGGTTTGGATCCCCTTACTGGCCAGCTGCCAGGAAAAAGAAAATATTTAAATAAAGCCAGAGAAGAACTTAGTAGAAGAGGTATTTCTAGTTAGGACAAAAATGCATGGCTTTCACCTGGAAATCCTGTCACTTAAAATACTAGAGATGTGGATTACCTACATACATAGGACTGTTTTAAGATGGGCAATAAAATACAGTGGTTAAGAACTCAGATTTTTGAAACCAGATCTTTTGGATTCAAATGATGACTACCATTACTACCTTTGTTTCAGGTTACTTTTCTAAAAATGATTATAGTAATAGTACTTATCTTACCAGAGTCGTCGTGAGGAATAAATGAGTTCACATATTTAAAGCACTTAGAACCATGTCAAGCGTATAGTAAATACCATGTGTAATAAGCTTCTGTTATTCTTTTTGAAGGTTCTAATATTCTGTTGCTTTTGCCCTCTGTATAAAATGCAGTCTGCTTTGCTCCCTGTGATAATTTAAATTCTTTTAAGAAATAGTTTTACAGTGCTTGACTTGAGTTTCAAACAAGGGATGATTAGATTACCTGAAAATGGAAGGTAAGAAAATGTAAAATTTGAAACAGAAAAAAAAAAAGTAACTGTGTGTGAACTGTAATGGCCAAAAGGATCATGTCCTGACCACTTATGCTGTTTCATCAGAGGCAGTTCTGCCATACTTCCCAGTTTTCCTTGCTCGTAATAACCATTTGAAATAGGATGGACACTATTATCCATGTTTTACAAAGGAGGAAACATTTGGAGAGGAGACATAATTTGGTAAAGTGGCATAACTAGTAAGTAGTGGGATCAGAACTGAAGCACGGGGCTGCCAGTTAGCTCAGTTGGTGAGAGCGTGATGTTATAACACAAAGGTCAAGGGTTTGGATCCCCAGACTGGCCAGCTGCCAAAAATAAATAAATAAATAAAGCATGGGTTTTGTATTATTAGAGCAAGCTTCTTCTTATGGTAACATCTTATTTTATTTTAAACGTGGTTTAGTGAGTTAAATCTTAATGGCTCTTTAAAGGTGACACAAAACTAAAGAGCTACAAACATGATTGTCACCTTAAAAAATCAAATCCTAAAGAATTTTTCAGGTATTAGATTAGGAATGCAACCTGAGCCAAGTCTCGATGGCTGTGCGTTATTTCAGTGTGGGGTTTCTGTCCCAGACTCATTCTAGGTACAGTGAAGAGTGGGTCACAACTTTTCCTGTTCTTGTCTCTGGATCAGATTCATCAATGGCAGTCTCACTTTGCCTAACTCACCCCACCCTATGGTTCACCTGCCTCTTTCTTGGCCCACTGACCTGGGCACAGGAGCTGTTTTCTGGCTCCTTTCTCTGTAGTGGTAACAGTTGGTCTCTAATAAGAAATTTGTAAAACTGACTCTAGTAAGACAATAACTTTCTCTAAAGGAAGCCCTAGAACTTTGGGGAAGCGTCACTAGTTGTCAATATATGACCCCTGAACTTTGTCTCAGAGTCTTCTAAAACTGATGAAATTACCTGTGTGTGGTGGTCCACCTGCATCATGGATAAGTGATCCTGATATCCTGACTGCAGCAAGTGACTCTAGGTTGGGTTTTTAAATTCTGTATATGTAAAAAAGAAAAAAGAAATTCTATATATAATTTTTAAGTTTTCTTTAAAGATGTGATCCATTCTCAGCCAAGGGACCTTAGGGTGTTCCCAGAACTGTACACCTTGACCATATGGTAGATGTGGATGACCAACATGCCACCTGTTGTTCTTAGTTGAGTATGTGTTGTGTTTGGGTCAGATTCCATTTACATAATCAGGGAAATATAAGGTCTTTAGACTAGAGTAATGACAGACATCAAACTGAGATATTAAAATTGCCTGATCCAAAGAATGAGTGTGGTTAATTTGTTCTTAATAGTAGTCATATTTTGGGTGTTTCAAATGATATTATTACATATTGCCTCTTAGAACATCTCTTGATGTCTGCTAGTGATCAAATTCACAACTTCTTCTAAGGGGATTTTCAGAGGGATGAAAAGTGGAGAAAGCATGGGTTTGGAAATCAGATGTGGCTTTGCCTCCTGGTTTTGTTTCTAATGGTTGTGTGGCCTTAGGAGAGTCATTAATTTCTCCAAGGCTTATTTTCCACATCTGTAAACTGTTTCTACTAATAGCACCTGCCTCGGAGGCACCCAGCACCAAGAATTGGGTTCAGAAGTTTTCCCAACTGATACAGCATGGGCTCTGGTCAACTGGAACAAATATTACGGTGCAGAGGGCAGGTTCAAGAGGCCCCTGTTGCAGGGTCATTGGGGGTGTCCTGAGGAAGGGGTGGGAGCCATAAGAAGGGATTGCTCAGGAAAAACCAGCTGGTTTGGAAGTATTTTTTTAAACCCGTATCTTTGCATAACTGCTCAGTACAAGGGGTCTTCAAAAAGTTCATGGAAAATGTTATGAAAAAGCTATGCATGGGTTTCAAAAAATGTTTGCACCAAAATAAACTCATCCTAACTTACTATAACATGTCTGAACAGGATCTAATTTGAGGCACTAAGAAGGATAAGACAGTTTGAAGAGAGCCCATCAGAGCAACATAGATTCTGCTAAAATTGAAGCATGAACAAACATCAAATTTATGGTGAAGCTTGAGTGGAAGAATGGTGAAATCATTGATGCTTTACAGAAAGTTTATGGAGACAATGCCCCAAAGGAATCATCGGTTTACAAATGGATGACTTACTGTAAGAAGGGACAAGATGATGTTGAGGATGAGGCCCTTGGTGGCAGAACATCCACATCGATTTCAAAGAAAAAATCTTTGTGCCTGAATTGAAGAGGACCTATGATTAACAGCAGAAACAGTAGCCAACACCATAAACATCTCAATTGGTTCAGCTTACACAATTCTGACTGAAAAATTAGTTGAGCAAGTTTTCTGCTTGATGGATGCCAAAACTGGGGCCTCTTGAACCTCCCTTCTGCACTGTAGCATTTTTTCTGGTTGACCAGAGCTCATGCTGTATCAGTTGGGAAGATTTCTGAACCCAACTCTTGGTGCTGGGTGCCTGTGAGGCAGGTGCTATTTAGAAAGTTTACAGTTTGCAGCCAGATCAGCTGCAGACAAGAGAAGAGCTTTCAGTAGAAATTTTAAACAAATGGGATCAAGATCCTGAAGCATTTTTTCAAGGAATTGTAACAGGAGATGAAACATGGCTTTGCTAGTACAATCCTAAAGACAAAGCACAATCAAAGCAATGGCTACCAAGAGGTGGAAGTGGTCCAGTCTAAGCAAAAGCAGACCAGTCAAGAGCAAAGGTCACGGCAACAGTTTTTTGGGATGCTTAAGGCATTTTGCTTGTTGGCTTTCTGAAGGGCCAAAGAACAATAACATCTGCTTATAATGAGTGTCTGGAGAAAGTCAGCCAAAGTTCAGCAGAAAAATGTCTCAGAAAACTTCACGAGAGAGTCCTGCTCCACCATGACAATATTCCTGCTCATTCCTGTCATCAAACAAGGGCAATTTCTTGATAGTTTCAGGGGGAAATCATTGCATCCATTTTACCATCCTGATTTGGCTCCTTCTGACTTTGTTTTCTAGTCTTAAAAAATCTTTAAAGTCTTTAAAGGGTGCCCATTTTACTTCAGTTAATAATGTAAAACAACAACAAAAAAAACACAAAACTGCACTGACATGGTTAAATTCCCAAGACACTCAGTTCTCTAGGGATGGACTAAATGGCTGGTATTATCACTTACAAAAGTGTCTTGAACTTGGTGGAGCTTATGTTAAGAAATAAGTTTATGTCTTTTATTTTTTAATTCCATTTTTCTGCCAACTTTTTGAAGTCCTCTCAGATGAGTCCTGCCTGTCAATGACATATGGCAGGTTCTGTAAATGTCTCTTCCTCAGTCCAGTACATGGCAGCTATTGTGGAAGTTTGAGCGACTACCCAGGAGGCACATGACTAGTGGGGTTGGAGACCTAACTAGTCTCTGTTTCCACAGCTCTGCCCATTCTTCACTCTAGGGGTGCTATTTGGATCTCAAGATTATGTTTAAGCCACTATGAATATTAAATAACACAATGGTTGTTTCTGGACTAATGTAACAAAATTCATTAATGTTTAATTTTGACAATTTTAACTTCAGTAGAAATATTTTTTAAGTTAATAATTCTGTGAACTTCCTTCCCAGAGGCGTAGACTAGATACATACATAGCTTTTAGTAAACAAACAAGAAACTTG